AGTTTCATCGTCTGGGAAAGCACCAAGAAGCCGCACAGCTCTATTAAGGCAGCAATTCTTGTTGGTCTACTTCATCTTCTTCAGAACAGTCTTCTTAGAGAGCATGGCCAGTATATTGGCTGGTCTCTATAGCTGAGTTTTTTAAACTGTGGGTCAGTCCCATTAGAGAGCCATGAAATCCATCTAGTTGGATGCAGCCAGCATTAAAAAAAAAAACAAGACAGATTTTTTTTTAAATACAGCATTGTATAATTATATACGTATATGCACTTTGGCTTGTGATGTAAAATATATTTCCTACATAGGCTATGTTCAAAAAGTATTTGAAAATTATTTCTTACATCAACCCTCTTTGGAAGGCACTGTCCCCATTTTACAGATTAAAAAAAAACTATGTCTCAGAGAGGCCCTTGCATAGGGCCAGCCAGCCAATGTGATGGATGGAACTGATATGTGAAACCAGCCAGTGAGAGCATGCGCTTACCTACTTTCTCAGAATCCTAGTTCAAGTCTCTTTTGACTGTAGACCTTTTCCAAGGACAGGTAGGCCGGATGTCCTCTGGTTTCAGAAGTCTGGATCATATTATTTGGGAAGGGGAGAGAGAAGGCAAGAGAGGGGTGCATCTCAGGCAAGAAGGAAGCTGGAGAGTAAGAGGTGAATCCAAGACATGGGTTAGGGAAGAAGATGACAGACTTGGGTGCCTCACTCACTGACGCTAAAATAGTGAACGACCTGAAGGAACCAACCATCTATAGAACACTGTTAAGTGGACACAGCAACTCACTCATGTTGACAACCCATGAAAATGATAGCTTGACTCAACTCTGTGTTGGAAATCCAACTTGAGTTACATCCATTTCTGCCTCCTCTTGGTCTCCTCATAATATGGGCTGGCTAGACGCTCACACCCTTCGTTAGTGTTAATCACCCTTTTCCCAGGGGTAGGAACAATTTGCCTTCTGAATGCTAACGAGGCTGTCCCTTGGGCTTTACAGGGGCAGAGACAAACAGGCTGTTCTGGAGCTTGGGAAGGAATCCTGGGCCTGGTGTCAGCAGAGCCTTGGCCGGTGCCTCTTCTCAGGAGTGAACCGGCTCTCGCATTCAGGGCTGGGGTAACAATGGAGAAGGAAGCGGTTTACCTGGTCATTTCTGCCCCCCACTTAAGTAGAGCTGCCAGATTTAGCGAATAAAAATACAGGATGCCAAGTTACATTTGAATTTCAGATAAAAATGCATATTTTTAGGGTCATGGTAGTATGATGCATTGGGGTATTTTGAGCCATGAAAGTATACAGTGAAATATGCCTATGGAAAAAGAGACTGCTAGACCTGGCCTGACAGGGTGGCTAAGACAGAGCCCCAAGGTCAAAGGGCTGCAGGTGGAAGAATTCTGTGGGTGACCGTCTTGGGGGAAGACCATTTGATCGTAATTGCCCAGAGCCTGACGCCCGTCGTTTTCCCTGCTGTGTCCCTCCAGTGATGGTCACACCCACCCTCAGGATCCTCTCGGCCTCCGTTCTCTTCTTACCTGCTGACAACTAAAAGCAGGAACCTCCAAGGTAGGGCTGAGCCAGGACACCTGCCAGGAAACTGCTTCTGAACATTTGCAGTGCGCGGAACCCGGCGCCCATGCTGGTGGTGGTTTGAGTTCTCCGACTGCCCTCGGCGTTTGGGGGAAAGTAGTCACTGAGCACCCACTCCTCTGTGCGCAGAGCTCTCCTGCAGCCTCTGTGCTTACGGCAACAAAAGAGGCGGAACACGCAGCCTCTGCACCTGGAGCGCACACACAGGCGCCTCTCGGGACGGCAGAGAGCTTATTAGGCTTTTATTACCTCAGGACCGGAGTGTCCTCAGTGGCCTCCCCCTGATTTTGTGTGTGTGTTGGGGGGGGTGTCTCCTCACAGGTGCATATGTAGAGACTGCTCCAGTCGTCACTGGAGGGGCGAGGAGCCCCCAACCCTGCTGGCCTTGGGAGTCATTCGCGGCTGGTCTGTGGGAGGTCGTGATGTGTGGCCTTGGGTGAAGGGATCGAATTCATGGCTTAGTTGGGGACCAAACACTGGCCTTGGTGTTATTTTAAACACAGGCTGGACCAAGGACCGGGGGAGCTGTCCAGCGCTGAGCGGGCATCGCGCAGCATCGTGGCAGGGCCAGGAAGGCGGCTGTGGCCTCCGGAGAGAACTGACTCTCACTGACTCTCACTCCCGCTCTTGCCATTTATAGGCAATCTCATTTTTTCTGAGCTACAGTTTCCTCTTCCATGAAATGGAGGCAACAGTAAGAGGAGGACATTTTTGAGGATTTCATGAGACAACACATTTGAAAACGCCAGCAGATAGCGCTGTGTTTGTCCCTACGGTGTTTCCTGTTCTCATAGGACTTGGTAAACTCCTTTGTTGTGACACCCTTCGCAGTGAAGGAAAATTCTTTCATTTCCATGTTTGTCTGCTTCCATTACTGTCCCCACCTCCCCCCCCACCCCACCCCGCCTGCCTCCTGCCTTGGGCCTGCTGCATCCGAGGCCCAGAGTTGTCCTGAGCTGCATGCACTTCAGCACTTGGGTTTTTCCGGAAGGCAAGCCTTTAAATTTTGAGTCTTCTGCCTGCCTTTTCTCCGTCTCTAACTCTCCTGCTGAAGATGGGCAGGTTTCCTCCTGTGATCCGCTCGGGAGCAGCAGACGTAGGGCTGTATTGGACCAGAACATCCTCATCAGACTCTAAAATGCTCAAGGACAGATTTCAGCACACTTCTGCGTGAGCACACAGACCTGTGTTGGAGTAGCAGCCCAACTGTGCTACCTGTTCTTTTCATTGGTGTGTTCTGCATTTCTGTGATACTTTTGTACATTTATCACTTTCATCAATGCCCTTCGATCACTCAGTGATCCCTTGCGCACCCCTTACTTGCCAGCCTCTGGGCTGGGGGTGGGGATGTAGAGATGAGGAAGACAGTATCTTCATGTGAGGTACTCCAGGTCTTGTGGGGGAGACAGATGAGAAAACAGAGAATTTCTCTAGCAATTAGTAAGGACCAGATGGTGGTGATCTCTCTTCTCTTCAGTTTTTTTCTTACCTAGTAGAAATTGTATCATCCCCTCCCAATTTCACTCTTTGGCCTTGGAAGATAGAGTCAAAAGCAGTGTCAGACTCTGCTCCCAAGCCCTTCCTTTTCAAATGAGGGCATGGAAGTTGCGTTGGGAGAGGTGGAAAAGACTTGGGAAGCTTCTCTCGCTCCTGAGATTCTCTGTGAGAGTAGGGTTTGTTTCTGGTTCTTATTTTCAGGTTGGATTAGCATATAATTACAGAATCTTTAAAGTCCAGAGAAATCTCTATTGGTCCTTTAAAATATTCTTCAACCAAAGCAGGAATCCTCTTAATTTTGTAATAGGTAGTTCTACGGTCTGTTCTAGAGTACTTTCAATGTTAGGAAGTGTACCACCACGTAAAATGGCCTGCTTTGGCTCTAGGCAGCTGTCCTTGTTTCAGAGCTACTGCTCATGGTTATGATGTCCTGGATCTGTGCACTTTGTCCCTGTCGACTCTCATCGAGTTTCAATACTTGAAATGTTTCAGAGGGGTTTTACCCAAAAATAATTAAATGAGGTGAAATATTCTTGCAATCCTTTGACTATACAGACAACTCAGTTTTCCCAGTGACTCATTCCCCAGTGGTTTCAGATAGCTGAAACTGTCCTGGAGTGGTTCTGAGGGAGAACAGGGAACTGGCCTACAGAGAGAAGACTAAAATTAGACAAAGTTGCAAAAACAATTTTATTAATGTTTGTGTTAGAGGTAATGGCTATTTTGCACATTATAGCTTACCAGACCACTCTTGATATTGAATGCCATGTCGTTTTATTTTGGCACCTAGGCCTTGGTACCCCTTCTCCATCCTTGTAGGTAAGGTTGCGAGGCTCGCAGAAGCTGAGCGGCTTGCCTCAAGTCACCCAGTTCTCAAGGGCACGAGTTAGGACTTACATCCAGTTCTTTTGACTCTTGGCCTTTTGCTGTGCCTTTCATTAATACTTAAGTGTCTGTCTCTCCAAAGTATCTGCATTGTCATGGGATTATACGAAATAAATTGCCTCCTCAAGATGAGGAACTTGGTGTTCACAGTCTAATAGGATTTTTATGGATTTTTGGTTTTTTTGTGTGGTGTGTGTGTTTCTGGAAATGGCTGTGGAAGGTGGGAAAATGGAATCAAAGAAACTAAATCCAGGTCACAGTGATTTTGGACAATTATAAAATACTGTGTGGGGGGACCAGTAAAGTCATTCCCTAATTATAAGCATCCATGTGATTGATTTGTCTGGTAAAAATTCTAAGTGTCAAGGTGGAGAAGAGTGAGTTACTCCTTTATCACAGGTAATCCAGAGAAATTCCCTGAGGGAGGCAGGAGACGGGAATCTAAGAAAATTTTGGAATAAAAAATGAGGGGTTGCCCTGACCAGTGTGGCTCAGTTGGTTGGGTGTCGTCCCATAAAGGGAAAAGTCACCAGTTTGATACCCAGTCAGGGCACATCCCTGGGTTACAGGTTCAGTCCCCAGTCACGGTGCATGCATGTTGACTCTCTCTCACATCAATGTTTCTCTCCCTTTCTTCCTACCTTCTCCTCTCTCTAAAAAATAAGTAAATATAATCTTTGTATAAAACGTGTGGGCTTTGGTGGGCTGGATAGAAGGGAAGGAGGTTTGCAAGGAACAGAGTGGAGCGTAGGGAACAAGAATGAGACAGGTGCTGGAGACCTTGTGTTTTACTCAGGATTGGGAAGTCGGATTCAGACGTGAGGAGTTTTTCTTCTTTGCAAAGTGAAAGCCATGTGGCTAAATTGAATTCCCCTTGGACCACAGCCGATTCGCCCCCGGTCGGGTGCGCCCCCGGCAGCTGGCTGGGGAGCTCTGCATGCTTTCAGCAGGGTGCTTCTGTAGCCCAGCTCCCCCCGGGATCGGGGAGAAAGCCCAGCCCTGGTAACCCTGACCCTCTGTGTCTCCATCTGCAGCATCCTGGCCACGGCGGGAACCCACTTCAACACACACGTGGACCTGCGGACCCTCCGGGCCGTGCGCGTCCTGAGGCCCCTGAAGCTCGTGTCCGGGATACCCAGTGAGCACCCTCTTTCTTCTTCCGACTCTGCCAGTGACCGCTTCCCTGATGCGCTCTGCCAGGCCCAGGTCCCAGAGAGCTGGGGATAAACAGGAGACAGTGCCTTCTGGGACTGAGCCCCAGGGGTGACAGATAGTGTGGAGGCAGCAGCCTGACAGAACATTTCATTTTTAAATTTAGCGGCTTTTTTTATTTTTTTCAGATTTAAAAGATAATGAAATCTTTATAGAAACTTTGGGAAATACAGAACATGATACAATATGAAAATGAAAAGCACTCATTATCCTATCAGAAATGTCTTTTAACATTTCAGCATATTTTCCTGAGCACTTTTAAATATAATTGTGATCGTACTGTATATATAGTTTTAGGTCCTGCCATAAGTATTTGGTTTTCCTGACATTAAAAATTCTTCAGAAATAAAATCTTAACATCTGTATCATAGTTTGTTACATGGGTCATGACGTATTTAGCCACTGCTGTGTTGCTGGATAGTTAGGTTATTTCTAGGATGTTTTCCCCCCAACTAAAAATAATTCTGTGGCAAACATCTTTTTTACTTCAGCCTCATTCACATCTCTGATTATTTTCCGAGGCTAGAATCCTGGAAGTACACTTTCTGGGTCAGAGGATGTGGCATTATATGAACAGCGGTTGCACTAAATCTGCTCCTACAGCAGTGGCTGGGAGAGCCAGGCCCGAGAGGGGGTGACGGGGAGATGAACCTGCCCTTGCTCCCACAGGTCCTCCTGCCGAGCAGGGCTAGGACCACGTCCCTTTAGGAAACAGGCACATTCAAAGCAGTTTAATGTCTAAGACGAACCTGGAAGACAATGTGGGTGAAGCAAATCAGGGAGGGCGGCAACAGGCCTGAAAAAGGTCAGGGTGAGGAGGAGGAGGAGGAGGAGGAGGAGGAGGAGGAAGGAAGGGGTTGATCTCTGGGGCAGGCAGGGGTCGCAGCCTGGGCTGACTCGTCCTGCCTGTCCCTTTGCGAATTGTCTGGATCGCTGCGGGACCAGTGGGTCTTCTCCCTCCAACGTGTGCCACCTCCTTGTGGGAGAGGGGAAGTGGAGTCGTCTGTGGGTGGGGCTAAGCAAGGCTCCGTGTGCCCTGCCCTCCCCTCTCCCAGGCCTGCAGATCGTGCTGAAGTCCATCATGAAGGCCATGGTGCCCCTCCTGCAGATCGGCCTCCTGCTCTTCTTCGCCATCCTGATGTTCGCCATCATCGGCTTGGAGTTCTACAGTGGGAAGCTGCACCGCGCGTGCTTCATGAACAATTCAGGTGAGTGAGTGAGTGGACTCCTGGCTTCTGCTGCTTCTCCCGCTGGGTGGTCGGGGCCATTTCAGGGCGTTCACTAGAGGCTGCTTGGGAAGGGGTGTTCTGTTCCAGCCCTGGAACTAGAACCCGAAGCTCCCGAGGCAGCAGCCTTTTGAGGCCCAACCAGCCTAGACTGAACGGGCCACTGATACCACAAAGCTGATAAGCTCCGAGGTTTGCAGCTGGAGGGTTCCACGCAGGGGGTCTCAGCTCCCCCATCCCATGGTAGAAATGCTGTCAGAATGCGAGTCAGACACTCCCGGCCTGAAGGAAGACCCTCGTACAGTGGCCTCTCTGGCCGACGGGCCGGTGTGACCGAGGAGTTCAGAGTCAGGACTTGGGTCCCTTCATATTCGTGGAGACATTTTTCCCTTCGTGGTCCTTCTCACGACCTCCCTCCCTCCCTGCCATGACCCGCACACGGTGCGGAGGACCTGAGGCAGCAGGCAGGGGTGCTCCGGAGACTTGCATGGTGCCCAGACTCCAAAATCTTGTCACTTTGTATCTCATTAGTTCTTTGCAAGTTGAGTAGAGGGTCCCGGGAGGAAAGGGGATGGGGGAGAGGCTGAAGAAGCCAAGTTAGGTACCTTTTTTTTTTTTTAAATGAAAAGGATCTTCAAAGGACACCTTTCACCTTGGATTTTTATATTTTATTTTTATCTTTTATTTAAGACCACGAATTTAGACCAGAAAAAAAGAAAAAAGTGCTAAGGCTCACCAAAGGGATTGTAGCATATGATTGTGCCCAAGAGACCCAGCCAGAGCTCAGGGTCTGCACTGGAGCCCCAGGTTTAGACCATCAGTAAGGTTCTGCCTTCGCCTTAGGCTTTGCTGTGTCGCCCAGCACCGTGAATTTCTGGTGCGCAGGCGAGGGTAGAACCTGTGGCCTGCGGGAAGTCGGGGCCGTGTGGAGGAGCGGCTCCATTTTCAGGGCAGGTCGGGGAACACTGGGTTGAACACACAGTGCGTGAGCTGGGAGGTGTCGAGAGGTCCGAGGTGGGAGGGAACCCGAGGTAATGAAGGGCACATCTTTCTGTGGGAAACGGAATTGCGTGCTTGTGCCTTCCTGGGGTCGTTTCCAGCTCGTGCTAAGCACCATGTGGTTTATCCCCCCCCCCCCCAAATGTGCATGCAGGTATCCTAGAAGGCTTTGACCCCCCTCACCCGTGTGGCGTGCAGGGCTGTCCTGCTGGTTACGAGTGCAGGGACTGGATCGGCCCCAACGACGGGATCACGCAGTTTGATAACATCCTTTTTGCTGTGCTGACTGTCTTCCAGTGCATCACCATGGAAGGGTGGACCACCGTGCTGTACAATGTGAGTAGAGCCGGCGGGGAGTGGGAGCAGGAGGGCGTCAATGCGGCTTCTGGAATTGTTTGGGCTGGTTCGTGTGGGGAGAGGGAGTGCTGGGGGTGCGCGCGCATGCACGCGCGTGCGCGCGAGAGAGAGATCAACTGTGGGAAATCTTTGCCTCCATTGTCTGGCCTCTCACTAAAGGGAAGTACACAGCTTCTTAATACAGGAAATTATACCCCATATTGGATGGGTGAGCAGCTAGTAAATCAGATCAGCCCAGCAGTTACAGCGTATGTTCTGAGAAAGGTTGGACGTGGCGGGGGGATTCAGTGCGGGGCACCAAGAGGTATATGTTTCTTGGTTACTGTCTTCCAAGAGCTCACCATTGGTCTGGGAAGATATTACAATGGTTCTCAACCCTGGCTGCACATTAGAATCAGCTGGGAGCTTTAAAAATTTACACCTCCTGGGCTCCACTCCAGACAAATTAAGTAGGAATAGCTAGGGGTAAAGGCCTGTCATTGATTTTTCTGTAAAGCTTCCTAGCTGGTTCTAATATTCAGCCACTGTCAAGAACCACAGCATTATAGGCACATAAGAAACATGTTTAATTGTAAGACTCACGAGGGATGCTGGTGGAAATTCAGGTTCCCAGGCCTGTTCTATGCAGGGGTTGATTTTGTGTCGCTTTGAATAGTTGGTGAGTGTTTTACAAGTGCCCCTCATGGTTACGATCACACATGTTTGCACAGCTCTGAGTTGGCACGCGAGATAAGACTGTCTGCCTGCCTCTCAGGGATGTTAGGGGGTCCCTGCATGGGGACAGAAGTTAAGTGACCACTGGAGTCTCTTCTTCCTCCCAGAGTCTGATTTTAGCAAGTTATGAAGGGCACGGTGCGGGACTACATTCCAAGGTAAGAGAGGGTCGGGAGTGGGTGTGATCTGATACATAAGGGGCCTAGGTGGGCAAAGCCATTCGGCCGGGTTGCCTCTGTAAGTCGGTGCTTACCAAGGTGCGGGCCCTCGGATGCATCGCCCAGCCTCCCCCCAGGCAGGTACCTTCGGAACGGTCATTTCTCTTGCCTGCGGCCCTTCCGCTGACCTTTACCCTAAGGTGTCCTCTGTTTTCTCTTAACCTAACTGCATCTGCATAAAACATTTTGGGTGGGGCACGGTGTAGCTTATGAAAAGCCCCCTGTAGAAGGAGCCCTGGACGTAATCTGTACTGGAGGGAAAGGAAATGTTGTGTCTTAGGAGACACTCTGCCAGAGTGTAATGCCCAAGGAGCCAGGATTTCCTGAAGCCTGTGCGAGCAGGTGCTCTGTAAATGTCTGTCACTGACCTGACTCATCCCCTTGCAGGCTGAGGAAGGCAGGGCAGAGCTGCAGAGAAGAGCCACGGGCTGCTAGGCCAGTGCCCCAAAGGGCAGCGAAGAGGTCCCAAGGAGCAACAAGCCCAGGGCCTACATGTGCCCTAGAGAGACCTTGAGGACCCTCTGGGATTCTCACTGGTTGGGTGGGGCGGCAGGAGGGAAGGCAGGAAGGCGAGATTGATGAGTGCAGTCACTCCTCATTGGGAGTGTGAAGGATGTCCTGAGGCCACGTCACACAGATTAGCCAGGCGCCTCTGGCGGCTACAGCACTGACCCTCCAGTGGCAGGTGTCTTTGGCGGGGCTTCGGGGGTGATGTGTTATATGTGTGGTTATATGTGTAGACGCACCTAAGTGATGTGATACATGCAGTGGAAGCCTGAGAGGAGAAGTGTTGCTTTTGAAGATACAGGTGTGACCAGTGGGCCCTCCAGAGCCAAGGCCCAGATGGCACTGAGACAGGCAGAGCACAGCTGAAGAATTATTCATCCCTCATGTTAGTTCCTTTGTTCAGCTGTTCAACACGTATTAAGTGAGCACCTACTATACCTCAAGCACTGCGCTATGTGTTAGGGAAATAGAAAAAGAAAACCGTGATCCTGGTCTCATGGTGCTTTCTTAGAACTCTCATCTCTCCCTAGTTATCTGTCCTATGAATGTATGGAGGTCACACAAAGGGATAGGGACCCTGCTCTCCTCTGTAGGAAGCAGGGAGGAGAAGAGGTCGCACTGCAGGCCCTCTGGAACCTGTCAGTGTGTGGGCGCCCAGCCAGCCCACCAACCATCGGACATCGTTTTACTGAATGCCTCCTGCTACCCCGGCGCCAGATCCAGGGCTGAGGGAGCTAGCTGAGCTCTAGGGCTGGTTAGCAAAAAGTAGCCGGCTGCTCATGGGCAGAACGACCTCATGGCCACTTTGATGGGACATCACTTCCCAAAGCGTTGGCTCTGGGGGCAGGGCATGGAGCCAGGAGCACACAGGCGAAGGCAACAGTCATAGGGAGGTGGATGACTGCTCCCTGATTCGGAAGAAGTTGGATGTAAAAGGCACTTGCTGTCAGCCAGTGGAACAAGGCCCGAGTCTGGCCCCACAGGAAGGGAGAGATTCCTGAGCAGGGAGCTGGGGTGTGAGGCGCGACCCGGTTAGTGCCCTCCTACAGGAGCTGGACACTCAGTCTGGAGTTAGGGTCACCTGCCCCTGGGGGAGCAGGTCCAGCGCACTGGGCTCTCCACAGCCGGGCACAGGGCTGGCAATCCCCAGAGGAGCCCCGTCAGACAAGCTTCCAATTGACCCCAACGCAGCCATTCTTCTTGGACAGGAAAGAGGGTCAGGGAGTGGGAGAAAAATGACCCGCTAGATGGTGTAATCTGTCTTCCAGTCTTTTCGGCGGGCTTTGCCTGCCAGAAGTGTAAGACAGGGATGCCTAAGGCCTTGGCTGAAAACTGCAGATTCTGGTTGTTCATGTCAATGCTATCTGAGAATTTGTCTTCTTTTCATTTTAACTCAACTTGATAATGGCAAAACATTGCATATATATTAGAACAGGTTGCACACCAGGGAATGAACAATGAACAACTAGTCGGCTTAGTATTATAAATAATATGTATATATGTTTGTCTCAGGCACTGTGCCACCATCACAAATGTAACTTACAAATGTACGATACAGATGTAACTGTGTTGCTCTCTCTTTCTACCACCCATTCTCAGAATGGGAAGGCCCAGTTCATCCAGCTGCTACATTTCCTCACAGAGGCCACATGGAAGAGGGGAGCCCCTGTTTCCCAGCCCAATACCTCTTCTGTTCACTGGTGGCAACAGTATGGGAGATGTTTGGTGTCGGTTATGCCCAAGCCAGGAGGAGAACCCTCAAGCTGACACTGTCTATGGAAGCTCCCCCAAGCATGTGGGCTCTGTTTAACCATTCTTCTATGCAACGGTACTGCTTTTCGGCGTTTGCATCCCGTGTCTTCTGCGCAGACTCTTCTTAATGCCTCCTGTGGCCTTGTGGTGCTCTGCCATTGATTACTATTAACTTCATTTGCACGTAGCTTTTCTCCTTGTAATGCATTATTGTGGGGGGGGGGCAGTGGGGTGCCCATGGCAACCTGGAGTCTCTACCAAAACTTCCACTCTGCTTGGTCAAGCGCCAACTGTATTCTTGGCTTCCTTCTCTCTCATGGTAGAAAGAATGCAAAGCAGCCTGTGGTTCTGCTGGCTGTTTCTTCCTGTTTTGACTGTCTCTCCAAACATAGGTCTCCTCAACTTGCAAACTCTCCCCTGTTTTTACTCATTTAAATTCAGGTATTTCTCCTAGTCTGGATAAGGGTTTCTTCTTCAGGACAATACGTTCTCCTCTGATCAGCGCTGTCCACCTTACAGGTGAGACTGCCACCCCGGTACCTTATCACCTAGGCTAGCTGTGACTCCGAGAACGGGCTTCCTCCTGGTTCTGGTCTTGCTTCTCTGTTGGCATCTGGGTTTGTGTCATCGGCTGTTTGTGTTATGAGGACTAATACCTAGCTTGCAGAGGTTCCCAGTCTCGGTTTGCATTTCCTCTGATCTGTGCTCTTAAAGTCCAGTGTTTGCTCACCTGCGTTTCTGTAGCTCGAGCTGTTTCTTTCTTCCCGTGGTGATGCTGCACTGGCTCAGGTGCGGACATTTCTTGCAGATGTACTGTTTCCCCGGCTTTGCGGATACGCCGGCCGTATCTGTTACGACTGCCCAGGACGCTCTGTGCTGCAGGCTGGAAGAGAAGTGGGTAGACTTTACTGGCTGTTGGCAGAAAGAGGCCATGTGTAGCCTGGATGCTTTCTGGGAGTCCTCCTGAGTCTTCAGAAGGCCATTTGCCCCTAACAGGCCTATGGCTCTCTCTTTTGAAGCTGCCTTCTCCCAGCTGCCCATGGGTCCTCTTTGTTAAATGGTTAACAGTGATTCACTGTTGCCTTGTTGACATTTTGCCTATGTGTGTCATGCCTAAGATTAACGCCACATTTGAGATTGATGAAAAAATGCCTTCTCTGGCTTTCTGAAGCTTCTCTGATTTTATGGCATCTACAGAGAATGCTGTTGGTTCTGGAGTCCATGAAACTAGGACACTAGGGAGTGTGTTTACACAGCTTTGCTTTGATGCCTCCCCTGCCCCTCCACATGCTCTAGGAACAGAACATACTCAAAACTCATTGGACAAATAGGGGGCTGGAGCCTCCCATCATCTTATGGTGCTAGAGCAGTAAGGGGGACAAGCTGACCTCAGGTCAAGTGTATACAGGGGGTGGGGGGTAAAAACACTGGAATTATTTTCTAGAGGGTGGGCCCTGTGTAGTACAGGCTTCCCCCACTAGGTTGGCGTTCTAGGAACCCAGCTCTATCAGTGTACCAACTGGCGTTGTTGAGAGAGGCTGAGTTCGGCTTCAGTGAATTTTTTCTTTTTTTGAAGACTTACTGTGTTTGCCCATTTCATGGTGGGGGATTTACAAGCACATCTGCCCACACCACGCTGAGTGTTCAGCAGTTTTTGACAAAAAAAAATGTCATGATCCCTGTGCCCTTCCCTCCCTGATCTCGTCCCGAGAAACTTCTTTTGTTTCCCGGATGAAAAAAGTCCTCAAAGGGAAATATTTTGCTGATGTGAAAGAAGTGCAACAAACA